TTTTTTTGAAACAGGTATACAAGTGTTTCGCGAGGGAAGTTCCCGCCGTTTTCCTTATGTTATAGCGCACTTAATATTCTTGATCTTTAAAAAAGATACAAGGACAGTTCCTTATAACATCTTAATATCAAAAATTAAGAAAAATGGGTACGAATTTGATATTTAACAAATAGTTTATTAAAATATTTTGACAGTCAAATGTATGGATAAACTACAAATGGTTGTAAAACAAACATTAAAACAATGTTATCGTTTCGGGATAGAGATGGTCTGGCTATTTGCCAACTAGTACGTTTACCTACAGACTGTTTTGGATTTAGAGAACACAGACTGAAAGTGGGGAAGGTCAAGTACTGCCGGAATATTACGAAACGTGTCCTACTTTGTGTTTCGACATCAAGTAAGAAAACATAAACAAATTGCTATCAAGCAGTTAACCGATAAAAGATATATTGAAAGGATGAATGGAAAATTTGCGTGCCGAAAACCAAATTGAAGTATTTTTATCTTCCCACCCTAAGGAAAGGATGGGATGAGAATGGAATCTACTTTGATTTGGCAGTGGAGGAGACGTATAGGAATGTGAAATATTCTGTTTATGTGAGTCTTCCCTTCCGTTGATTAAGGGTAGGCAACGCATCTCCAATTGTATATCTGGGCGGCGAACGCTTCGTCTTTTTGGTGGGTTCAGATGCCTTGTGCGTAGTCGTTTTCCACCTAATGTTATAAAAAACTATTGTACACCAGTGGAAAATTGTATCGCTAAAATTGTTGGTAATTGTTGCTACGAGTTGTCCTACTTCTATACGGGCTTGTAACGACAGACTAGTGGTATTAAGAACACCTAGAACTGACAAGAATGCGTATAAAGAAACGTGAATAGTGTACTAGGACGTCGGCAATTTAGTCGTGATTTGTTGTCTGTTTCCAAAAGAATGGGACGTATGTCAATATTTTGGTGATACAATGCTTGTCTTAATCCGTCAGTGGAAACTCACCCTTACGACACATTCTTATTCGTCTCATTAGTGTACATCTGTTGACAATGACTCGTATATTTTGAGACGGACCAGGGTCAATATATTCCAAATTATATTCGTCATTTCTGTTTATAGGGCAAGGTATTTATGTGAATGCATCACCTTGTACTGAGACGTTCACCCAATACCATTGTCACTTTCGTTTGATTTAAAATAAATTCAATTGCCGTGTAAAAACTACAATAGAATAGTCGAGTTAGAATTCGGCCTTATTGAGTGTTTTTGTGACATCGGCTGTTAGATTTCGTTTAAGATTTTTTTATGGAATACATTGATAGTAAGAACACAACTATTGTGCGATTGTCGATTGTTTTGCCGCCCATTCAACTGTTTCGATGCACAAATAAAAATCGGATAGTGTGTCCACTTCCATATAATCTCATAGAATTCAAAGTCTAAGGTGTGCGCGCTATAAGAGTCAGAGTACTTCTAATGCTGAAATATTACTTTGTGTATTAAAATGTTTCTTTATAATTATTAATTTAAATCCTATGAAGAAAAGTAATCTATTGAATGGCTCTTACGATAGCGAGGCACAAAGCACGTGACAGATCTACAATTGCTAACGAACGTGATAAATCTATATCTATACTATTATTATACAGAGGAAAGATTTGTATTTTTGTATGTATTGAAATAACTCAAAAACTACTGGACCGATTTTAAAATTTACCCTTAGAAAGATAATTTATCTGTAAACAACATGGGTTGTATTTTTCTATTTCACACGGGCGAAGTCGCGAGCAACAGCTAGTAAAATGTATTATCGTAACACTACATTGTTAATCCAGCCACGGTACTAGAATTAATGCCGCCATAATCCGATAAAGTATTGGAACATGTTCCGTCATAATCCGTAAAACTATTGGAACATGTTTCTTCATGAATCGCAAGTAAACCTATGAAATTTGTTTATTAAATGCCCGAGATGTCTTGTAATATTCAAATGACTTGTTAATTAATGTTGAAAAAATGTATGCCATAGACCGTAAAATTGGTGTTTAACGTTTTTTCTTCTTCTTAATAACTCGTTTGATGAAGTGGCGCGTTTAGCGGACATCTGCAATAAATGACCCGTTCGCTTTCGGGTGCTAATTATTTAAACTGCTTTATTTATAATTAAACTAGCTTTCGCCTGTGACTCCGTCCGCCTGGAATTATAAAAAAAAGTAAGTAACCAATGTGTTCTTCCAGACTATGATCTATCTATGCCAAATTTCATCGACATCCGTTCAGCCATTTAGGCTACAAACTCTAGCAAACATTCCATTTAAACTTTCGCATTTATATTACTGGGATGTAAACTTTACAAACGTCTACGAGTTTTAAGTACCATTGACTAGTTGATTGTTTTTATGTTCAACGATCTAGAAATCTTAGCAACATGTATGTTTTCTAGTTATTATAATGATATGCGTGTTATAATAAGTACACATTCTTTCCTTTGTCACGATATTTATGATATGGGTAATAATTAAACACTTATAACAAGTATCAAGACTTGTTAGTAAAACAATCGATGACTAACCTGCAATAACAAGTTGGTAAAATTGACTATTTCTATCTAGGAGTAGGTAGTAAAGGTTTTTCTGTACTAGTTTACCACCAAATCCCTTAACGCGATGCTCTTTTGTTCCCGTAATTAAATGCAAATATGTTATAACCAACATTTAATTAAGAAATGTACTACAAGAGAAGAGAAAGAAACGGCAAAACATGATCTCCCCTACCCTATCCTAGCCCCGTTGGTGCGGCGCACGAGATTTCGTTCTCCAAATAACTATATCATCCGTTATCTGTCATCACTTCCTTCTTGACCATGTCACCTTTCACACATTCCATCTCTTTCTAGGTCTACCTCTACCGATGTACCACATTCATAATAAACATAGTCCTTGTCACATGCGATTCATGCTTTAAGACATGCCCATACCATACTAACCTTTTACTCCATAATTTCTCTACCACTGGGGTTATACTCAAACTTCTTCCAATATACTCATAACATTGACATATTGTTATAAATTAATACTAGCGCTAGTAGTATTACAATTACTAGTTCTAGTAGTAATACTACTTGAAAATATATACCTAGTAAGAATGTTGTCTGGTCCATTATCTCCGTCTTGATGGTCCCCTAACAATAACACACTCGATTTAACAACTAGCAGATAATAAAACTAACAAAGGATATGATTCATGAACCAATTTCGCGATAAACCGATTGCATGTATTATGTATGGATAAGCTATTGTATGTGGTGTCTAAATTTTCTCGAACATTCCTCTTTGCGTTACAATGTTGACTTAATGCTAAAATAATATATCTTGTAAAGGCACAGTTTTGGTTGATTTTCCTTTGAACTAGTTTCTAAAAACAAATGACTCTCGCAGTATTTTTTTTTTGTTTTTTCGTTTGTTTAGATTTTTTAGTCATATATCCCATTAAACTTTTCTTTGTTACTATTATTCTTTAAAAATGCGCATACCTTTGACAAAACTATCGTACAACTGTTTGGTCTCGCTGTGATTTCTATGAGCTTGTATGGAGGAGCGCACACTACTCCTTTTTTAGTTGTTCAACTAAACTGTTGAATCAGCTGCGAAACAATCGACAATCGCACAACAGTGCGATAGCTACTCAAGTTGTACGGCCGGTCTAATAGTTATTTGCCTATTACCTTAAATGACCATAAATACCAATACGGACTTATTCTAATTCTTATTTGACACAACAGACAATATAATGTTACGAGTATCAGCTGTGGTAACTTACGGTTACTTTGAACCAGATAGATGTAGCAAATGAGCAAAGAGAAAAGTTGCACAAATTGATATTGATGCCGGCGACACGCTGTTTCTGCTATTGGGAGCGTGTCGTCCGGACAGTAGGAGGCGCGTTTGATTTTATTCCTCACTTGTACAAGTTTTAAGTCAGTGGTATTATGTCTATATTGTTTGAAGTAGGATTGTAGCGCATTAAAGAGTTTTATTTTAAGAGTCGAACAAAATTTATAGCGTCTTCAAAAACTCCGTGCTTATCATTGTCTAATATAGTAGAGTGTGAATAAATAGACAAGTTTTGGCAGTTTTTTTTTCATATGTGACTTGTAAATTGTATTAACTCGAGTACGCAATAACGAATCATTTGTGTAATACTATGTGTAGTATAACATCTTTTATGTAAATGTTTTATGTGTGAGTTGTTAAAAGATCTTTTAATTGTCTTATACGCGTATTAATCATATGCCTATTTGTTTTAAAACATACAAAATTAAAATAAAAAGTGAATAAATATAAAGGCAGTCGAGTAAACTGGATCGAAGTAAACATTGCATGTATTACGTATTGTAGTGCGGCGCCGACCCGTCGACCGAATCGTCCTGCCCAAGGACTGTCTGCGAAGCTAACTTTATTACCTTATAGCTCTATTTAAACTGGATGTATTATTTTATTAATATAATTTTAAATTTATTATCGAATGTTTTGTCTATTTTCATATTTGTTTTTAGTAAATTTTTCTAGACCTATATTTTAAACATGTTTTAGTTTTAAAACATCTAATTAATATGTCTTGATTGAGTACTAACAATCTCGGCTATTGCCGTCTTTGTGTAACTTAATTGAATTAAAGCTTGTTTTGTTTGAAGGATACGGCTTCAAATGGGCCAAGGCGTTACGTCGTGGCAATTTCACTTTCTATTGACTTGTGTGAGCTCTCCTTCAAGTCTTATGGAATTAATTAACCTATTCATAACGTTTTGTAATTTGTTCTCAAGCAATATAAGTGTTTTGTATACAAATGTTGAGACTAGTTGAAGTTGCGGAAGAACGTGGCATTTAAACAACCTTTATTTCTTGCATTTGACTTTGATTTTGATTTGGGTTTAACTAATTTTTTTAGAAAAATTCGTAGAAAATTATACATAAAAAAATCATTTTATAAATATCCTTGTTACAGAGAGAGGATCAATCGTTACTGGCTCAATTCTTCTTTGCGGACGACGCGCTAAACATCATAGCGTCAGAGTTGGACTCCTTCGACGGCCGCAAGGACCCGGAGAGATGTTCCACACTCGTTACACAGCTACGGCTCGCACAGGTAAGAGAAGACAGTCAAGAATTAAGTGAGAGGAAGTCTTTAACCTTCTGTATCACCCTACCGATTGGAGACTACCCACGTAAAAGTGACTATGCCTTAGTCAACTATTAGCCCACACCCGTTTAGTTCACATCACGCATATTTCTTTGCCGATTGCTGGTAGTACCACAATGTTAGTAGACGAATAACCAAACCCTCACCTTATATTTATACTAAAACTCTACTGTATATCTATACTGATCTATACTTCTATACTAATATTATAAAGAGGAAGGATTTGTATATTTGAATGTATTAGATTGCCGTTAAAACCACTGGGACGATTGTTTAAATTCTTTCACCATTAAAAAGGTTATTTATCTGTGAGTAACATAGGCTATGTTTTCTTAATTATTTTTTTTAATTATACTACAGTGAAGTCTTAAAAAAGGTGGCATGTGTTGCAAGTATTCTGTTTATATAAGCCAATACTATATGGATATGATATTTTCACTTGTTATTCAAATATTATAATTGAAATTAATATCATACAATGGAATCTATTCTATTTTGTAATAAAGGAATACCAAGGGACCTCACTGAAATCACGGAAGTTGACGTAACTTGACGTGTATCGAAAATTGAACTCTATATCCAAGTTTTAAAGTTGAAAATTGTTTAGTACATTGTAAATGGTGTGGTTTCATTACGATTTTATATTGAAGGTTTAAGCTAACCTATGTTTGAGTTGCGGTCCATTGCTAATGGTTGTATAAGGTTGCACCTTATGTCATGGGTTACGCATCGCTTTGTCGGGTGTTGCAAGTATTCTTGGTTATCAGACTGTGAATTTTTCATTGTACAGAGAATTAGGTATATGTTTGTTATGGTATATTAAGACCCCCGGTGTACAAAAGTCTATGTGAATTTTAGATTTATTGTAACACTAGCTTTCGCTCGTGACTCCGTCCTCCTGGAACAAAAGTGAGCCTATGTGTTCTTCCAGACTATGTACACCTGTACCAAATTTCATCAATATCTATTTAGCCGTTTAGGCTACAAACTCTAACAGACATCCATCCATCTAAACTTTCGCATTTGTAATATTAGTATGGTTATTATGATAGCTAAAGCTACTAAGCAGTACAACAAAAAGACCAAATTTGGTGCATAATATACCTACTGGATATGATGTTGCCAGTAAGGTTGCCCGGTCTAATTTAAAGCAAAATGCAATCTTTATCTAAAAATTTGAATGAACTGACGACTGATAATATTGGAATGAAGTTATAGATATATTTTGTCTTAGTATGCTATTATCGTTTGAGTCAGTTTTTTTGAGCTACTATCGCCGTTTTTGTTAAGAATTTTTTATATTTAGATATGAATAGTACTTATTACATTTAATAACTGACAACATAATTTTTTATATTAGCTATGAATGTCAAGGAGCTGTTTTTACTGTTGAAAATTTTTAAGACATATTTTTGTCTCGCTCGCACACTGCATAAATCAAATGTAATATTTTCTTTGTACAGTTTGCTTAATGGAAAGTGGAAACTCGCTGTATACCATCATCATTAAACTCCCGCTTTAATTGAGGGACATAAAAATATACGCAGGTGGCGCATTCCTTGTTTTGTTCATTCCCTTTAAATTCTTCTTTTGTTCATGCTTGTTAAAGGATATTAAGGGTGAGTTGCACCATATCGCCGGTTACCGTTAAAGTTAAAATTAAATTAAAATATTTGGAATAACCTTAAAATTTACTAAGGGTGAGTTACATTAACTAACTATAAACCAGCACATTCCCGATGGTTACGTCTACGGATGTTCATGATATTCGCTACACCAGTTTTGCGCTGGTCAAAGTGACGTCATATTTGACACTAATCATAACCGCCCGATTTTGGGCGGTTATAGTTAGCGTTACGGTTAGTGTCAGTTCGGTAGTGTCAACTGTCACAAGCTCTTATCTTCAAAAGTACAAATAATGGAAAAAGTAATGGAAAAAGAAAATCTCTACTATTATCCTATACGTAATCCAGAAGAATAAAGTCTTGCGTGCTCGGGAATAATGGATTTCCAAGATGGAACTCGAAATTTGGCCATACATTCAGTTTGGACAAATTTCGAGTGTCTAAGGCCATAGCAACAGCGCTTGTCCCTTTTCTCTTATTTAAAAAAATGTCATCCATAAAAGAACAATTTATAATATGGAGAATAAATAAGATGCATTTATATTTGTATAATTTTATTGCTTCATTTTTGCTACATATTTGAGTAGTAAAGTAAATACAGTTTCAATAATGGCCCAAACTAGTTTATTTTCACAAGAGTTTGCCATTTTCTCCATCTCCATGGGCAAAAAGTTTATGTCACTATAAAATACCATGCGTATGATACATAAATATATACGGCGAAACATGGATTTCCAAACATTTTAATTTACGTAAATGTTATTCTTGACACCAATTTGACCCTTTAGTGACATTCAGGTTTAAATGTTTCCATTGTAAAAACGAAAAACACATAAAACCTCTGTGAGAACATGTTTTTGCACTTGTAACCCTATTAACTATAACTATAATTTTTACGATAACCGGCGATTCGATGCAACTCACCCTAATTGTCGCTACGCGTTTCCATTGCAGAAACACTTCTATACAAGACCTATACCAGTATTTTGTAGTAGAAATTCACGGTTAGAAATACAACTTCTGTTGCGAATAGTTTTAAACATAAAAAATGGGTTATTGAACGTTATTGGACAGTAATTGTCTTGACACCACTGGACTGTTCACGCTATAGTTATGGATAAATCTTAGAATGATTGTAATTATGGATGATGTAACAGTTTTAAACGAAGTTGCTTTGCCTATAATTTACTGTCTTGACGTTATCACGTAGGACCGTAGTCAAGCGCTAGTATACTCAAGGTAAACGTTAATTAAGATGATCTCTTAGCGGCCATTTAACAACTTTGAATGTGACAGTTAGATCTAAATCTTACTTCTTTCTTGTTACTAATATTATTATAGCGAAAGTTTAGATAGATGGATGGATGGATTGTAGCTTTAACGGCTGAACGGATCTGGATGTAATTAGGCGTAGACGTAGAGGATAATGTGGAAGAACACATAGGCTACTTCCTTTTTTATTTTTAATTCCACGCGGACGGAGTCGCTGGCGATAGCTAGTTATTTTATAAATTAAATGAAACTTTTGAACTCGATGTTTATACTTGGATTAACATCAAAATTGCGTTTTTTGTCTTTTAATTTACAAAAACGAGTTCACGACACGACAGCCGCTTGATTAGGTTTTACAAAGAAAAATGTTGTTTTATTTTAATTATGACTCTAAGGTCGTCGACCGCGCCCTCTATGGTGAACCCATAAAAATGTAATGCCCACAGGGTCGGTGTTCGCAAGCCACCTGGCGTCCTTCGAAATGTCAACTACTAAGCGAATTTATATGACGGGTTTTGATATAAAACTTTTTCACAGCCTAGAATAATCGTTCGGTCTGAAACAGTTTTTGCTTATTCATGGAACATTTTTATGTTTTTTTTTTTAATTTCTTGAATATTTTTTTAAGATCGCAATCGAAAGTCATGATCTAACGTTTGGAGGATGATTGAATAAATTTGTGCTCCATTTTATGCATCGAAATGAAAATTTTTTGGACTGATCTCGAATCCAATATTGATTTCAATGGCTTGTGGCAAAAAGGTTACATCTGGAGTTATTATTAACGAAATACTAAAACGAATTACTTACAATGTAAGCATTGTGAATCAGTTTTGTTTTTCTGTAGTGAAGACTGACAACGATAAAGGCTGTCAGATGCATCGTAACTAAATGCAGTAGACAAATAATAAGACCAAAAATTATTCAATATCTCAATTATTCATGAGGTCATGTTCTCATTCACAATCCTTTAGTATGATACTTTTTTTAGATGGTTTTATGTCGATTAGTACTTCCTTTAATCTATCTATCTATACATATAATATATTGAAATGTCTGTTTGTAATATCAGAAGAAAAATTACATTTTTAGGAAGATGATGTATTTGCCTTGCTGATACCGAAAATCGCATTAATTTTTTTTTTGCCTGTCTGTCCGCAAGCCGCAGTTGTTCCAGGTAAACTTTCGACCAATTTAGACCAGACTTTCAATGAAGGGTAGTTGACATAGACGGGCATATTATAGGCTACTCTGTTATGTTAATATTGCATGGACGAAGTCGCGGGCAACAGCTAGTTTTATAATATCGTAAGACGTTAATGAAACAATGATCCTTGAAACCGAATTTTGTTTTTGAATTTGGTCCTGTCCTTTAAAAGAATGACTGGTTTAAAAAAAACCGGTTCTGCAGGTGTTGTGTTTTGTACATATGTTGATAAATTATATATGCTATGCATTTATTTAATAAGCAATATTACATAATGTTTTCTAAATATTTTGAATTTCACTATAGGTGCAATTTTTCTAGCTATTGTTTAAAAAATAAATATAATGGCAATATACAAAATATATACTATAGCTATTTAGCTATAGTATATATTTTTACTTTTTACTATAGTATCATTTGTCTTGAAAGATGATCCTAGTATACGGAAAACTGTTCCCTTTTGAAGTCAAGAAGTGAGACTGAAGTCTAGTAAAATTTCAATTTGAACCCATCTTTAAACTATATCACACTAGTCTCAGGAATATTTACCAATATACGTCGAAGAACTGTATTATGGTTGATAACATCGTGAAATTATTTTAGTACTAGCTAGCGAGGAATTAAAAAAAATAAGTAAGCCTATGTGTTCTATCAGGCTGTTCTCTACATTTATGCCAAATTTTATCGAGATCCATTCACCACTTTAGGCTAACAAACTCTTAACAAACATCCATCCATCTAACATTTAGTATTAAGATTAGGTTGTTTATTTCTTACTAACGGTAGCATTATTTTACAAAGTTCTTATCGTCAGTTGCTGCTATAAGCGTGACGGCGAATTTAGTTGTATGGAAATTTACTTACTATGAGTGTATGTGTATTGAGTTCGAGACGATTTTGTTTTATATGAGTCACGGAAAGAACGATCGTGCGCAGTGACGTCATCATGTATAGTGATGTGCGTGTTATATGTAGTGCCTAAATATATCGATGAAATTTTAATTGATACTTTTTAGTAGCAATTTTTACATTCAAATTCAGTTTGGTAAATTTCAACACATTCACAGTTTTCTAGTTGGGTATTTTTAGAGTAAAATAAATATGAATAAAAAAAACTAGAATCGTACTGTGAAATCGCAATTGAAGATATTTATATACAGATACAGACACTTGTCTTATTAAATAATTTAGTCTTTGTTTATATTGAGTAATCATATATTTAAAAAATCGATGTTTACACAAGTACGTCACTAGTAATCGTGACAATCTGAATCATTTATAAAACATTACACAGTATGTGCACAGATGGTCTGTTACTTTTGTTGCGAAATCGCTCGAAACTTGGTTACCTGAGATTCGCGGAAGAAATTTAACCACGTTAAACATCCCAATATAACCCCAAACATGATTATTGAGAGCGCGCGCACCTTTGCCTGTACTATCGCACAATGTTGTAGCTTCGCTTTGATTCCTTTGAGCTTATCTGTGATTTTTTTATGCAACTAAACAGTTAAATTCGCTGAGAAACAATCGATAATCGGACAACAGTTATGCGATAGTTTAGACAATGCTGAACGCCGCTCGATAAGATAGTTGTTGTACTTTCTTTTCTTATAAAATAAAAATAATTTTAGGATCGATGTAAAGGATTAAATATTGAATTCGGTGGCTAGTGACTTTTAGTATAAAGAATTGACCGTAAAACACACGCACGTGGTTATATTCTACAGTCACGCACGTGCATGTGGCGATACCCTTATCGGTTAATCGTTTAGACATGCTAGAACGTTATTTGTTTGTTATCGAAAGCATTTTTCTTTGTTCTGACATTGTTTTTAAGTATTATGCTGACATTATACGTACGTTATGCTTCCGTAATTTAGTGAGTATTCCAATATTACGTTACATGTCGATATCAAATTAAATATAGTTTTCTAGTACCAAGAATTATGTGAAGTTTTCATTAATGGATTTCTTAAACGACAAAAGGTGATGCGTGACTTGTGAACATCTTTATAACAATTAGTACGATAACAAACTGCTTAATGAATAGAGACTTTTCTAGAATTCAAAGAGTTTTCCTCTATCGTTAACAGTGTGATCCACACCATGTTTGGTTAAAACCGCTTTATACTAGTTTATACCATCTTAAAGCTGGTAATCATTTCAGTTCTCACTGTGGTAACTAACTAAGAGTGGTTTAAAGGTCATGTAACGTTACCATTAGCGTATTTTTGCCCTTTTCGATAATCTTCAACTGGTTCAAATACGATTACAGATAGAGCGGTTGTAGTTACATCGTAACACAATAACGATTCTCTCCTAATCATAAGTCTCTCTGAGTATCACACGAATAAAAAGTCTTCAATTGGAATTGTTCTTTGGGATACATTGGACCATGTCATTGGTAGTCTGGCCAAGGTAATGCTATAAAAACGTTTGCCACTAAGCCCTCGCCGCGATAATTGCCTTGTTTACATTCACCCGGCCGTTTGTAACGAGATTTCCTTAATATCGACTTACCTGTTTTCTAACCGGCTTTTCAATGTTTGTTGTCGAAGAAAATTGGTTTCTAATGCTCATAACGCATATTAAATTTCAAATAACTTGTTTCTAGGATCGTGTGTTGAACGTGACGAGCCAGATCATGGACGAGGTGCTGGGTGAGGAGCGTGTGGCGAGAGGTTTCCGAGTAAAGTTTCCTGAAGACGTACTCCAGGATAACCTCGCGGGACAGCTGTGGTTCGGCGCAGAGGTACATATTCTCATTCTGTGCAGTGTCTGGTGATGTTTTTAACAGGTAACATATCTAAAACGTTACCCTTTGTAGTGCCTGGCGGCGGGTTCATCGATAATGAACCGTGAGGAGGAATCGGCAGCAATGCGACCTCTCGCTAAGGCACTCACCCGCAGCCTGGAGACGGTGCGCTCACTGCTCCGTGAGCAATGCCTGCGCTCCAGAGACCTGGCCCTATCCCCACACGACGATATGCTCCACGAGAGTCTGAGAATATTTGATAGGTGAGACTGAGATAGATAGAGTGAGTCTGTTTATATTTATAATAATCTTATACAGGTTTTCCGTAATAACAACTGTTTATTGTCCGTGTTTTGAAACAGCCTGCTGTGTCCATCAGAAGTTTTTCAGGGCATAAATCTTACTGCTACTGTACATTAGTGGTCTAAAATTGTTTGGAATCAGTTTAATGTAACTTGACAAAAGAAATTACCCTATTCAGTATAGAAGTCGACTTACGAGATAACTGTTTCTTTTCGCTAATATAATATTGTTTGCAGGTTGTTTGCAGAATTTGAATTGTGCTACGTCAGTGCCATGGTAAATGTGAAGACCCCCCACGAGTTCGAGGCGCAGCAGCTAATCTGCGTCCTGTTCTCTGAGAGTCTTCGCAGAGCTTTGAAACAAGAATTGTTAACACAAGAACAGGTATACTCTATAATGAAAATAATGTAAAATGCAGCTGTGCGGCTTCATCCGCATAAAATCATAAAAACTTTATTTTATTGTTAACATTTGTCAAATTCTCAATTTCGAATATAAAATTACCGTTACCATAATATCCTTGCTTCCTTAATGTAGTAGTATGTTGTAGTTTATGATTCCTTTCCCATATTAAGTTTTTTTTTTTTTAATTTATTTACCCCTTACGTTTAATAGCGTGAAAAATATAGTTTAAAGCGTGGCGTAAGTGTAGGGCTTTTTATTGAAGAAGGATTTTTTCAAAAATATGCTGTGATTTCTGACATCATACGCCACAAAGTGGCGTGTTTACGCTTTATTATATTAGTATATGTAGCATCGACTAACATTTAACATTTATATTGTTGACCCTTACATTCACTTTAACAAAATAAAGACGTTACGCTTTTGTTCCAGGTCGATTCTTACGACCCGGCGTTAATGTTCGCGGTGCCCCGCCTCGCTATAGTCAGCGGTCTGCTCATATACTCCAGTGGACCTCTTAGTATTGATAAACCACCTGGTAAGTTAGCTTTTTATTTAGGTGAATAGAATATACTAACTGATATTGCATAATTGTTAACTAAATTGTTTGTAATATCACGTCTAGGAAAGCATTAAAGAGGCAGACGGGAGACATTTGACATGTTTTTAAGATTGTGATCGTTATTTCTCTCTACTGCGTAGGAATATGTGTAACTTTTGTATTCCATTAGAGCCCGCGGTACACCTTTTACTAAACTATCGCAATTGCAGATGCGTTGGCCTACCCTTCATTGGTGGAGAAGGAGACGCAAGTAAATGGACATTTCCCCTTCCTATGCGTATCCTCCACCGTCAACTTTTCTTTCCCATCCTTTTCTCTAAGAAAAGGGTGGAAAGAGAAAGGGACTTAAATTAGGCCTCCGGCACCACACTCATCAGACGAAACGCGGAATTGCTCCCACTTCATGCCAATCTTCTGTGTGGTCGTGGTATTACACCGAGCGAACCGGCCCATTCATGCGAAGATGTTAAAGCGGGCTCTACCACTGTTATATATATGTGTTGAATGTTTTCAGAAGAGATGTCGGACATGTTTCGTCCGTTCCGCACGCTTCTGCACAAGATCAGGTCGCTGTTGTGGACGTTGGAGCGGCGCGAGCTGCTGGCGCTGGAGCGGCTGCTCTGCACCAACGAGGACATCTCCAACCTCGCTGCACTACACCTGCCGCAGGGTGAGTATGCACTAATGAAAAAAGATGCCTTGATATGACAAAGCATTTTGAAATTCACCAATTTAACGGCAAACGACATATATGTAAATTATTTTAATTGTTATTAGCATCAAATATTTCTTATCTGAATTTACTTGTTATGTTTTATAGCACATATTGTAAGTATTATTATTATTTTCCAGATGTCGAAAGTATGACGGACTCAGCTTGCCACTATCCGGATATCGGAGAGTTTGTATCCAAGTTCTACGCCGACCATGCTCACTGCCGCGACCTCTACGCCACACAGAGGTTTATATTTATCTTTGTTTTCATATTATAAAATTGCTCTACCATCAGCTAGAATCGGAGATTTAATTATTTAATTGTTCTTTTCCAGCTCAAGTGAACCAACAATAACAGACGCCGACTATCTCCCTGATAATATAGAAGTTATGACTCCAATTATTGATGGACTGCGACGTCTCACTGAAGACCCCGAAGACACACAAACTGACGACGAAACCATCGACAAGAACAACCATCACTACTCGGACACCACTAGCACTGATACATTCCAAACAAACGACAGTAACGTAGAAAAATCTAGAAAAACAAGCAGAACGGAAACAAACGATTTATCTTCATTAAGAAATCTATCAACCAATGGACTAATGATGTTCGATCCTTTAGTTATAAACGCAGTGTCCGCCTCCACGTCCGCAGAAACAAATCGACAACTCCCAGATAATGATTTAGTCACATCACTAAACGAGCAAGTGACAGAAATTGCGGACAGACTATCATCGATAGCGACAGACATCGATATCCAAGAGCACAATCAGACGCATTCGTTATCGACAAACGATGTCCCAACACTAATAAATGAGACGGATTTCGGGTTTTCGGGGCCCAGAAATGAACCGTTAAGTTGTATGCCGTCGACAAGTCACGGTTATCTCATACCTAACGCGATAAGTCAAGAACCTGTCGTACTTGCATCCTTATCGCATAATAACTCTGCAGTTTTCAACCAAGAAGACGAAGAAGTGACAGGTGCTATACTAAACTCCGATTTACCACTTATCATGCCTGATAACATCGAAGCTGAGATAGTCAATACAAACATTTGTATAGCAAACGCAAATCTATCATCACTTTTACTAACGAATGACGAATTTAGACAGAATTTCGTCGATAATGACATAGATGGAGATAATGCGAGTTTCCATTCAGCAAAAATGACTCTAGATAGAGATGAAAGAGTGAAATTTATGCTAGGCTATGACAGTGAACATGAATCTCCTGTAGATTCAGGTGTAAGCACGGAAAATACTAGTTTAGACAGATCACCTGATACAGATCAGAGTAAAGACAATTTTATGCAACAGAACAGGGTAATAAAAGATCTAGAAGAAGAGAGAAGAGAAGATAGAATCGAGAATTATCTAGAAAGATCCTTTTCGACGGATGATACCATCAAACAAGCCGGACCATCAAATAATGTAGAAATAGATAGAATAAGTACAGAAGAAGATGGTTTGAACGAAGCGACGAATATAAAAGACTTAGATTGGACCAATACAGAACAGAGTTCAAAGGATTCCATAAAAGAATTAAGAAGGAGTTCAGAAGTTAAAAGCGTAGAAGAAAATAGAAGTTCGACAGAGTTGGCGACACACAGCGGGAGACAAAGGAAATCGAGGAAGAGTTCAAAGAAGAAGAAGAAGATGTGGCCGCCTGGTATTGTGATATTGGACAATCGAAATACTCAAGTTCAAAATCCTTTGAGACTAAATTTGGATCATATTATGGATGAAAGGTAAACTTCTGTTTAATTTCAGAATTTCTACATAAAATTTTCAAAGTCTCGACTAACTACATAATTCGAATAATTTTTTTGATACTCTTGAAGGAAAAAAGTAGAATGTCAGTTAATTCTTTCCGTAGATACTTTCTAATAAACATCCATCCATCCATCTAAATATTAGCATTTATTATATTCACTAACATTTGCCAGCGAATCTTTTTTATACTTGACTAGTTTTCGCCCGCGACTTCATCCTCGTGGTATTGAAGAAAACAAAAGTAAATAGCCTATGTGTTCTTCCAGACTATCTTCTACAAATATGCCAAATTTTATCGAAATCCATTCAGCCGTTTAAGTTACAAACTCTAACAAACATCCATCCATCCACCTATCCATTCATCTTTCCATCCATCCATCCATACATCCATCCATACATCCATCCATCCATACATCCATCCATCCATCCATTTGTCCGTTCATCCATCCGTCCATCCATCCATCCATCCGTCCGTTCATCCATCCATCAATCTAAACTTTCGCATTTTAATTAGTATAATTGTATGTGTCAGTGGTACATCATGCACGTCGGAGTGCGCGGACGACGAGCAGATAGCGCTGGCGCTGCAGGCGCAGGAGCTCGCCGCGCGCCAGCAGGCGAGGGGCAAGTTCAAGTGAGTTTTTTTATATCATAAGGTGGCAAACGAGCTAGCGGCCACCTGAAGCCGCCAAAATGGCGAAGCGACCGCTGCCCATAGATATCCGCAATTGCAGGTGCGTTGCCTACCCTTAATCGACGGAGGAGGAGACGCACATAAAGAGGATATTTCTCCTTCCATCAAACAACACCATTAAATCCATGTTCCCTTTCCATCCTATTCTTATGAGAAAATGGATGGAAAGGAAAAGGGAGTAAAATTAGACCACCGGCAACACACCCATCAGAAAAAACGCGGAATTGCTTCCACTTCACGCCTGATTTCTGTGTGGTCGTGGTATTACAAATTCGCAAAAACGGAGTCGTTGCTTATGCTTAATCAACGGAGGAGACGCACATAAAGAGGATATTTCCCCTTCCTATGCGTTTGTCAGTTTTAAAATATTGTAAAAAAATGTAGAACTAGAGTCTATTAATCAATGTATTCCAGATCTAGCGAAGACCTGATCCACCGTCTGTTTGTCTGCATCGCTGGAGTAGCTGACCAGCTGCAGACCAACTTCGCAGCGGACCTGCGGAACATCCTCAAATCAGTCTTCCTCATGAACCAGACCCCAGACCCGCCTGAAGAGGAACCAGAAACCTGCGACCCCTCAGACAAAGGGAATGCTATAGAATACGAGGTCTCCGAAGACCAGGTTATACAGAATGGTGAGTTATATTTATTAAATTAACACGATTTTCGATTTATATTCCAGACTGTATTCTACCTCAGTGCCATTTAAAAATAACCTTTCACAGCAGTTTTTTGACATTGATAGGGGGCGCCTGCTAGTTTTTACAGTTACCAGTAAGCAAAATGTTGCAAACTTCTTTCAAAATTCTGACAACAAAAAACTAAACTATGTGTCAATTTTTTCGATTTTTATAAAAAATGTTGCTCGCGACTTCGCCCACGTGTATTTAAAAAAATAATATCTGTGTTATTCTGGAAAAATTACCTTTCTAACGGTGAATGAAATTTAAAAATCTGCCCAGTAGTTTTCGCGTGAATCAAATACATACAAAAATCTAAAAATACAAATCTTTCCACTTAATAACAATAGTATAGAACATTTTTCAAAAACATTAGTCAAAATATGATTTCCTAGATGACATTGCTACTACATCCTTGTATGTCTAATCGATGTATCGATGTCGTATCGATATTGTACCGATGTTGTATCGATATTGCAGGCAGTTCGTTCGACAGCGTGTACTCCGCGGAGGAAGTGTACGCGGACAGTTCCGACTCGCCGTCGGAGAGCAGTGCGCGGCTCGCGCGACGCAACACGGTCGCCGCGCCGCGGGACAGAGACAGACGCAACTCATTGGATGGCACCAATCTGCAGGCATCTGTGTCCACTGGAGATTTAACTTACAGGTACTCATCCATCCATCACCAGCTCACTATACGTCCCCACCGAGGGGCTCGGAGCCTACCCTAATATGGGGTGACTAGGCCATAGTCAACCACGCTGGCCCACTGCGTGTTGGTTGACTTCACACATATCTTTGAATTTCTTCGCAGATATGTGCAGGCATCACGATGTTTTCCTTCACCGTAAGAACGTCGGGTAAATTATGTACATATGAAAAATCGAAAATCACATTGGTACAGCGGGATTCGAACCCAAGACCTGTAGATTACAAGTCAAGTATTCAAACCACTGAGCTACCGACGCTCTTAACATTATACCCTATGTAAAACTGGGAAACGACCTTTCCCTACCAGCATAGTGGAAGCTGCTATGGACGGAGTCTAAATGGGGTGCGCTGATTTCCTTCCGCGAAGCTGTTATGCTCAAGAGACTGCAGAGCGGGAGCAAGAGAGTGATCCCGCCCGGCGTCGAAGGTCAAATCAAATCTGAGGGCGGTCACCAAAGGGGTTTTTAGTTAGGACCCTACGTTAGGGTAAAAAAAAATCCTTAGTATGGCGGCTCTATGCCGCTCTGTCGTTCCCCTAACATATTTTATGTACGTGTCGAGCGGATTTATCCTTATTACTTTATTAAAATTTTAAACTCAAATTATACTCAGATGATATGCAAAAAATTCAAATTACAATAAATACAATTTGTACCCTAAGTTAGGGATAACTAGGTCTTAGTCACACGCTGGCC